AAGAAGAAGAAGAAGAAGAAGAAGAAGAAGAAGAAGAAGAAGAAGAAGAAGAACAACAACAACAACAACAACAACAACAACAACAACAACAACAACAACAACAACAACAACAAGAATTTTGACAGTGATTATAATAACTAATAGCTCGTCCATTAATGTCTGACGATGACCAATTCATCTGTAGAGGAGAATATTTAGTTAGCGAAACAGATGAAAAAAAAAGGGTTATGATACCTTGTAGCTTCTGCTTTGGCCAATGAGACCATATCTGGAAGAGAATTGGTGGCTTTTAAGGACAAGCGGGCTAACCCAGATTTCGGGGTTTTCCAGAAATCTTTATCTACACCAAAAGTGGGCATTGTCCTACCTACAGGAGAAGTTTGGTTTCATTGGTGTGTATATTTGTTTGTTAATAGAGAAAACTCTCCTTGTATTTTAAAGACTAAACAAGGGGCATAAACTTTACCTTCGATTTTCTCAAGACATTTTTTTCCGGATATCCTTCTTGTGCTTAAAAGCGGCCATTTGTTTGCCACATTTGAGGCATTTAAGGGCTTTATTTCCACTCGTGGATGAGCGCAGCTTGCGTGCTTCTCTCTTGGTTTCATCACTAATTTCTAATTCGTGAAGCCTCACATAAATTTGCAGCCCGCTGTGACTGCTCTGCTCTCCAACTGGGTCTCTCGACTCTCAGTATTGTTAGAACCAAAAATGTTTCAATGACTCAAAACACCACGGTGTAACGTGCAGAAACAGACCTACCATGCAGCGTGGTGTAGAGGTTAGGCACTTAGCTGTCGCACACAGTAGACACGAGTTCGATTCCCGAGAGGAGAGAACGTTTTTTTTCTAAATCGAGTATCTCGGTCTTTCTACTGGGATATTGTACCCCTCTTAGCCCGTACTGGCCCAGACAGGCAGGGTCGGAGGCTCGCCCAAATGACCTAGACTGTTTAAATGAGGGGGGACGGGTGGGGGCGTAAAAAAACATACATTTTTTTTAGAAAATCAAACAAACCTGTGTGTCGAAGACAAAAACCAAGACAAACAAAAGGAGGGCTCACCAAATTATAGGCTCACCAAAAAAATACAAACCATATTTATGACCTGAAGCAGACCAGACAGAAATCGCATTTGCATCCGAGGCCAGCGCTTATTGTCATGGCTATTATAGCCGTCCCACATTACTATACCGTCAAGTGCCCGGCTAGCTCTATCACAGGGGACGGGTAATCGACGAGACAGAATTTTTGCGAAAACCTTCGGGAATATCAACAACAATAATAATATTTGAGACCAACCTCAGTGGTAACATGGTTAGGGTCGTCGCTGATGCACGAGAAGAACGTGAATTCGATTCTAGGGAGTAAACGTGTTTTGAGGAGATTTTTTTAATTTTAAAAAAAAAATTATTTTTTTTTGGGGGGGGGGAGGGAGGGGATAGACGTGCATCATGATTATTATCACAGGTCGTGCTCCCTGAAGTATGGATCTCACAATTTCAACCAGTTTAGTTTTTAAAAGAGTTTTACGGCACTTGCAACACAATAAGGTCAAATAGGTGCCGAAGATTAGTGGTGTTACAAGAGAGTAACAAACACAAAAAGAAAAGGAGGAGGAGAGATAAAAAGGACGATGTGTTTGATAGATCTAGGAAAGAAGGAGCAAGCAACACCAGAGCACCCGCAAACACCCCCCCTCCCCCCATTTCAGCCAAACGAAGGGCAAAGAGTGGAATATTATTATGTCCCGTGCGTACTATGCAATAGCGAGACTATTGTGTGAGTGTGTGTGTGTGTGTATGTGTGCGTGCGTGCGTGCGTGTGTGTGTGTGTGTGTGTGTGTGTGTGTGTGTGTGTTCCCTTCAAAGTTCATTTAAGCGTAATGGCGGAACTCGTAGTACCCACACTTCGCAGCGACATTTTTACTGAGAGCCAAAAAGCGGCAGCCTTAACAGTAATACGTTGTCTGGGAGTGCTATATTATATTATAAGTCTATGTTTCCGTTGTTGTGATGACGCTCTAATTGCGTGTGGTCTTGGGATTAATCACAGACAGGAGGGTGGGGTGAGGCTGAAGTCAATGATAATTATAATAATGCTTACAACAGATCCTCTGGATAATAATAAACGACGTCCAACACACCACGTTGGCCTCTATGGTGTAGCAGACAGGCTCTCTGTTCTCGTACGGATAATGAGGGTTAGGGTGCGGTGGCGGAGCGGTTAGTGCGCTCGTCTCCGAAGCGGAAAGTCCTGGTTCGAGCCTCGGTTCGGACATGGGGTTTTTTTCGCCCCCTCCTGTCCACCCAGCAGTAATGGGTACCCGACTTCGAGTAGGGGTAGTAAAGGCGGCGTGGAAAAGAACTGGCCACCCTACAACAATAATATGCGGAAGACCCAAAAAGTTGTATCACTAACAGGGCAATCCCCAATGTCCGGATCGGACGCGGGAACAACTTTACTTTACGGGTTATACTATGTCAGTTTGATTCCTGGGAAAAGGGTGGGGGGTAATTGAGTAACTCTACTTGTGTACTGAGATAACGCTTGTTTGTTTTGTTCTTTGTTTTTGTTTTTTGCTGGTGGTTTGTTTGTTGTTGTTGTGGGGGG